CTAGCAGCAAGGGAGTCTGGGAAATCAGAGTAGAATCATCATGATTAGCTGGATCTTGAATGAATCATGAGCCACTCACGGGGGCTAGGGATATTGCAGTTCCAAACAAAATCAATGTTAGGAATGAAAAATAGGGAAGAGAGAAAAGACTGCTCAGAGGCAACCTTCTGACATGAGTCGTCAAGGAGGGAATTACAGAAGAGGTGCATTTGAGCTCATCCATGAAGGATAAGCAGTCATGTGTATGGTAGGGAAGAAATAAGGATACTCTAGGGAGGAGGGGGGCATATGCAAAGGCACTGAATCATGGAAGACATGTTCAAGAAATACCAGAAAGTTCTTTTCTCCTGGAGATAGAGTTGGAATTGTAAGTGGAAACCAGTTTGCAACAGGTTTCACTGCCGGTCTAAAGAGGATAGTTGTTATTCTGTAAACCAAGAAAGTTAGTGGAGGTTTTGAGACAGAGACCCATTTTCCAAATACTGTTTATCTCAGTAACTTGGAACACATTAGCCCTTTGTTTTTATTTACCTGGCATTTGCACACAGTTTCTGATTTCTTAGCAGTTTTGCACCATCTATTATTTTTATGAACCCTGTGGGTTCCAGAGGGCTTTCCTGGTGCCTCAGATGGTAAAGGATCCACCTGAAATGCAGGAGGCCCAGGTTCGATCCCTAGGTCAGGAAGATCCCTTGAAGGAGGGCATGGCAACCCACTCCAGTATTCTTGCCTGAAGAATCCCATGGACAGAGGAGCCTGGCGGGCTACAGTCCATGTGCAGACAAAGAGTCAGACACAGCTGAGTGACCAACACTTTCACTTGTGGGTTCCAAGTAGTTCAGAAGTCAAAGTATTGGCTACACTCTTCCCATAGCCTCATCCTTGTACCAGGGTCTTGTTTCTGTCTTTGAAATGCTTTTTCCTGCGCCCTTGATGGGTGACAGAGTTTTTCTCCTTTCATCACATTGACTTCCACTGTCTTCTCAGATGATGTTTAAGTTTCCTGGACAGTAGTCAATTTCCATCAATTTCTCAGGCTGACTCTAAGTCTACACATATTTTCAGCCTTTACAGACTTTTCAGATTCAGTTAGATCACACCCCTGGGGCCCCCAATGCCTGGCAGCTTCTGCAGCCCACCTGCCATGCAATGTGGGTGCCTCCCCTCCACTTCCCCCTCGGGTGGAGTTTCAGCTTGTATATCTGAGAAGCGCTAAATCACCCTGCAGCCTTTGTATTCCAGGTTTGGGTACAGTCTCTACATTCAGGAGGGGAGAGCAGGTATCATTTCTCATCTTGTAATCTGAAAATCTCATGTTCATTGCTGTAATCAGTCATTTGATGATTGCATGGGAGGAATAAGAAAGAGAGATTCTTAATGTCTCTACCTCTTTGAGTCTGAATCCTGCATCTCCCACTCTCTAGCTATATGACTCAGGGAGATCTGCTGAACTTCCCTTACCTATAAGATGGGATCGTGACAATATCACTTGTAATATTAAGTAAAGGATCAATGAACTATGAGAAGTGAAGTGTCCAGAGCAGTGCTTGGCACATAGCAGGAATCCAATATATGTTAGCTGCTAATATTAATAATATTTTTATTACTGTGCTAACGTGTCCCAGCAAGCAGAATAAGTTAAGATTGGTTTTCAGAAACTCAGAAGTACCAGCTTCTTGCAAAAATATTTTGAGGGCACATTCCCAGTGTTAGTTTCTCTCACATGTGAAAGCTCATCAGTGTATACCATCTACACCACCAACTTGCTGCCCCTGAGCCAGCGATGGTGGGTGATTCTATCCCTCAAGGGACCAGGAAATGACATTTCTCAGTAGTCAAACATGTGCAGATCAGAATTATCAGACATATTCATCCTGAGTTGGAATTTCAGAAGCAGACGCATGACTTAGTGACAGGAACAGTGGCCTGGGAGGCAGAGCTGGGTACCGCTTCTCCCTCCGCTGTGACTCTGGGCAAGTCCCTTTCTCCCTCTGTGTCTTAGTTTCTCTAAACTTGCAGTGACCCAGCCCCAAAATGACCACCAACAGCCTCTCTTTGCCATCTCTTTAAAAAGCATGCATCATACATAGTGGATGGTTATGTAATATCTGCCTCTTCCTCTCAGTTGTAAATTCCAGAAATAGAACTTTGATCTTTTGAGTACATCACTGCAGCCAATGCAGGAGACCTAAGAAACATGAGTTCCATCCCTGGGTTGGGAAGATTCCTCTGGAGGTGGGCATGTCAACCCACTCCAATATTCTTGCCTGGAGAATCCCATGGAGTCTGGAGGGCTACAGTCCATGGGGTCACAAAGAGTCAGACACAACTGAAGTGCCTTAGCACGTGCACGCACTGCAGTCACAGACCCTGTCAGGACCTGGCACAGAGCTATTGCTCATTCTAATATTTTTTTGAATGAATGAATTATGTGGTGTAAAGAAAAAGATTTGGGAGTAAGACACAATTTAGAATTAGGACGTGCTACTTACTGAGAGACTCTCAGGATTATTGCCTGTAAAATAAGAATGATAACAGAAAAAACCAGGTTGTTTTGAGGACTGAATATGAAAGTTTACACACACACACACCAGAAGCCCTGATCTATGTCCAGCATATAATTAGTGTTAGGTAAAGAACAGATATTTTGCTTACTTCTATAGAGGCTAGCAAAGGGGAATGGAGTATTCTGTGTTCTAATGATTAAGTCCTAGGTGACAAAGGTAAATCTGAATATATATTAATAGACTTAGCGTGCACTCACCTATAGGGCAGCCAGGTTCGTGCGTGCTTAGTCGCTCAGTCATGTCCAACTCCTTGGGACCCCATGGACTGCAACCCACTAGGCTCCACTGTCCGTGGGATTCTCCAAGCAAGAGCACTGGAGTGGGTAAGCCATTCCCTTCTCCAGGGGATCTTCCTGACCCAGAGATTGAACCCAGGTCTCCTACACTGCAGGCAGATTCCTTACCATCTGAGCCACTACGAAGCCAAGTTCCTAGGGTTTTCTAAAACCCCCTTGGCTGCTAGTGACCCACCATCTTCTCCCCCTTCCTTCCTTTAACCTTTGCTGCTTTTTATGGAAGCTCATGTTTTGCCTTAGATGATACACAAGTCTAGATCCCTGGGCAGACACAGCAGAATGAGGCATAATGGGATAAGAGATGGCCTGGAGTAAGTGGAGGGTGGGAGGCAGTGGGGGAGCACCAGGAGGCCTGTATCCTCTTCCCAGCCCCGGCCTGGTCCAAACTCACCGCGTGATTGTGAGCGAACCCTCTCCTCGGCAGGTTTCCCTCTCCACACCTGTAAAGCTCTCGGCCGCTGACACAGAACACGGTGGCTCTCAGGAACCTGGGGTCTGGGGTTCGGAGCTGGGTTCGTGTCTCAGCTCTGCAGTCTGACTGCTGTGACACATGGGCAGGTCAGAGCACCATCTTTGTGAAATGGACAGTGGGATTCCCATGGGCTCATTTGGAGCGTTTAAGGACACGGTGTCTCCAGAGTCTCCAGCAGGTTTGTGAATGCGAAGTTCCGATCTGTTTGTTGGGAGGCCCACAGGCCAGCCCTGACCTCCCCCTTAGCTAAAGTTTCTCCCTGCTGGAGAAGCTCAGGTTTCCTGAGTCAGATGCACATCTATCAGCCTTCCTGCTGGCTCAGCACTTGGCAAGCGCCGGCATCTTTCACAGAGAGACATGATCCCCACTGGGTGTGAGTGTCACCAGCTCACATGCAATCATTTCAGTGTCTGGCCCCAGACTTCCTTCTGCCCCGATTGGGCATGTCTCGGGAGAGTCTCCCCTCTTCTACCCTTCAAGCCCCAGCTGGTGGCAAGGGCTAAGTCTCCTTCTAAGCGATGCTTCTCTGAGCTTCCAGAGATGCCATTTCTTCTTGATCCTCCCTCCATGATTGCCTCCTATTACCTGCCTGGGGACCCATCTCCCCAACAGGCCACAGATGGGCACTGCCAACAGGGGCCTCTGCCATCTCCCAACTCCGTATACTGTAGGCACTTAATAGTCAGAGCCTGCATGTACTGAGCACTCACCCTATGCCAGGCAGTACTTCCATGCTTTACATGTATTAATGAGTTGATTTTTCCCAGCAGCTCTGGGAGACAGTGCATCCGTCAGTCCTGGCTGGAGGCAAAAACCATACCAATTATTTGAACAGAGAATTTAATCTTTAAAAATGATAACTAGATGTAAAGAGTTCACTTGGTAACTATAAAAGCAAAAATAGAAAATTGCAGGAAGCAGTTCCCACCCCTGGAGCTGAAGTAACAGAGGGAAGAGGTGGAAATTAGTCCAGCTCGGGGCTGGAAGCCACACTCTGAGGTGGGGTCTGCAGGCAGCTCCCGAGCCAGCAGCACCAGGCGGGGACAGAGGACCAGGAAGCGGGGTCTGAGTTTTGGAAAAACCGCAGAGTGGGTTTAGCTGCTGCTGAAGGAAGGAAGTGCTACAGCTGGTGTGGAGAAAGGACTTAGGGACAGGAAGCAAAAGGAACGGGCAAGTCTTTCTTTTTCCCCCTCCTGACTTTGTCTCCCTCTCATGAATAGGAAGTGGCTGGCAGAGCAGAAGTAGGGTTTGCAGAGTCCTGGCTTCAGCTTCACAAAGCAGGTTTGGAGCTGAGAGGCAAAAGCTTAAAAGACTGATCTCAGCTGGAGCTGTTACTATTCAGTTTCACAGATGAGGAAACTGAGGCACAGAGAGATTCAGCAGTCTGCCCAAGATTAAACCACTACCTAGAGCAGAGCAGGATTTGACTCCAGGCAGTCTGGCTTCAGCACCCTGGCTCTTAACCCCTGGACCGTAAATGCTGAATGAATGAATGGGTGGGTGGATGGATGGATGGATGGATGGATGGATGGATGGATGGATGGATGGATGGATGGATGGATGGATGGATGGGAAGGCCCCCAGATAGTGCTTAGACAAGTGCCCATCCATGCTTCCCACAAGCACAGTTCCTCCCAGCCTGACTGTCTCTTTGTTGCCCACCAGGTCATTCACTGGAACTCCCCCAAGAAGCTGCGGGTGAAGAACAAGCACGTAGAGTTTTTCCGTAACCTCTACCTGACCTTCCTGGAGTACGATGGGAACCTCCTGCGACGAGAGCTGTTCGGCTGCCCCAGTGAGTCTGACGTCAACAGTGAAAACGTGAGTGGCTCCAGGGCTCGGCCACGCAGGCGGGGGTGGCCTCTCTGCTGGTCTGCCAGGGACCTCCTGTGCTTGGTTCTGTGCCAGGCTCCGGGCAGGCCCAGGAGGAACCAGGCACCATCCCCACCTTGGAGTGGGGAACGGGGCAGCGGGGGACAGGCACATCAGCAGGTCACTTCCATGCTCATCTCTGTGGATGCAGAGGCGATACGCATGCCCAGACCAGGTGGAAGCAGAAGAGAGCTGCCAAGCAGAGGGATCAGAGTGAGAAAAACCTCAGAGAAACAACAGGCTGAGGGTCTGTCCACAACTGGGGACTCAGGGCTTTGTGGACACGGCACCCACATGGACACCCAGGATTCAGGGTCAGCACATGGGGTGGCACAAAATATTTTCACAGCTAGATCACAGACACAGCTGACATCTACTGTATTATCCTGTTTCTTCACTGTTTATAATTTCTTTGTATATCTTATTTGATGCTCATAGAAACCTTTTTTTTCCCCCAATTAGAGCTGAAGACATTTTAGACACAGAGAGGTTATGCAGTTTGCTTCTGGTCACATAGCACGTAGGAGCAAAGTTGAGACAGATTACTATCCAGACTTAGAAGCAGTTGAGACTGCTCTAAGGAGCAGGATGTGGGGAAGCAGCTTATTATAGTGGAAAAGGTAGGGCGTGTGGGATCAGCTTGGCCTGGTTGGGCTTTAATCCCTTCTGATTTCCACTTCTGTGTTCTCAGGCAAGCTACTCAATCTCTCTGTGCTTCGGTTTCCTCATGTGTCAAATAGAGATAAGGAAAGCTGTCATGGGGCTATTCTGAGACTGAGAAACTGTGTAATCCATCTCAGTCAGCATCTGCCCTATATTGCTATTGTTGTTCAGTTGCTACATCATGTCCAACTCTTTGTGACCCCATGGACTGCAGCGCTCCAGGTTTCCCTGTCCTTCACCATCTCCAGGAGCTTGCTCAAACTCATGTCCATTGAGTCGGTGATGCCATCCAACCATCTCATCCTCTGTCATCCCCTTCTCCTCCTGCCTCCAATCTTTGCCCTGTGTTAGATGCTTGATAAATGTTTGCTCCCTGTCCTCTCCTTGACCCTTAGTACTAAACACGAGTAACTGGTTCATTCAGTCAGTCAACAAACGTTTACTGAAGGCCTTCTTATTCTGAGCGCTGAGGATTCATTCACAGGACAGTGATCCTCGCTCTCATGGTTCTGCTATTAATATTTTAGTAGGGAAGATACAGTAACTAGCCAAGCTATCAGGAAAAATTATCAGCCAGCGGCACGTGTTACATAATGACATGAAGTCAAGGAGGGCTTCTGAGGAGGTGACATTTTATCTGAAACTCAGATTCAAGGAAGAGGCAGCTGTGGAAGAGTGTAGGATCAGAGGAATACAAGTCAAAGCCACACGAGGAGGCAACACCTCCTCAAGCCTGTCAGGAAGGCTATTAACAGAAGATAATAAGAGTTGGCAAAGACGCGGAGAAGTTGAAACCTTGTCCACTGTCGGTAGCACGTAAAATGGTGTAGCTGCTATGGAAAACAGTATGGAGTTTCCTCAAAAAAAAAAAAATAATAATAATAAGAGTAGAGCTGTCATATGATCCAGCAGTCCTACTGCTGGGCATATGTCCTAAAGTAAATTAAAATTAGGATCCTGGAGCAGTGTCTGCATTTCCATGTTCAGTGCAGCAGTATTCTTAATAACCAAGCTACAGAAACAACCTAAGTATCCGTTGAAAGGTTAATGGATAAGGAAAATGCAGTCTGTACCTATGCAATAAATGTTGTTCCACTTTAAAAATGAGGCCAGTCTTATCATTTGTGACAACATGGATGAACCTGGAAGACATTGTGCTAATGAAATGAATCGGTCACAGAAGGACAGATACTGCACAAGGTCTTATATGTGAGGCTTCTGAACTAGTCCCACGTATTGATGCTGACAACAGAATGGTGGCTGCCAGGGGTTGGGGAGAGGGGGTCATGAGGAATTGATGTTCAGTGGCTGTAAAGGTGCATTTAGTGCCAGAGATGCCCTCTACAAATATGTTTAAGAGTGTAGATTCCGTGTTAAGTGATGCTACCACACACACACACACACAAAGGAAAAACCAAGAAACTTTTGGAGGTGATGGTTATCTTTAATACCTTAAACGTTGTAATAGTAACATAAGTACATAAATATAGCCAAACTCACTAGACTGTTTTCATCAAGTGTCATTTTTTGTATACCAGCTATACTGCAGTAAGGTTTCCCTGATGGCTCAGTGGGTAAAGAATCCACCTGCGATGCAGGAGACACAGGAGATGTGGGTTTGATCCCTGAGTCGGAAAGATCCCCTGGATGAGGAAAGGGCAACCTACTCTAGCATTCTTGCCTGGAAAATCCCATGGACAGGAGCCTGGTGGGCTCACAAAGAGTCGGACACAACTGAATGACTAAACATACACATACTGCAGTAAAGTTGGAAAAGGAAAAAAGAACAGCAGAGGAAGCGCATTCCAGGAGGATGAAGTTGCTGGCATGGATGTCCTGAGGCTGGGCGGGTTTGCTGTGAGGACCGGAAGGATGGACCATGTGCCCAGGGGCTGATAGGAAAGGTGAAGAGCAGGAGATGCCGAGCAGCGGGGAAGCGGGAGGCAGGCTGGAAGTGGGTTAGAGAGTCAGGATTTTGTCTTACTACTGTTGTTTGTATTCTTGGATGTCAGGAGAATTCTTTGAGGCTCTAGGGGCGGGGCGGAGCGGGAAACTCTGCCAGCATACACCTACCTGGCCCTTTATCAGGATGACCAGTAGCATGGCCTCCCTTGTTCTCTGTCACTTACCCCCAGGTCACAGCATCATCCCCTCAATCTCCAGCCTTTCTCTAGTCACCCTCCATCAGCATCTGCCCTTCTTTTCCACTCACCAGAGAGGAAACAAACCCATTAAGCTCTTGACCTCCATCTCAGACTCTGGGATGCCTTTAGAGGTCTCCACAAACACTGTGTTATTCTGGGTTTTCCTTCCGTTCTTTTCACTCAAGTCAGAATGTGTTATCATCATCAATATTTGAGTGCCCATTCAGCACTTTTCCCCCAAACATTAAATATAAACTGTTCTCCTGCTCCCTTTTTTTTTTTTCCCTCCACGGAAGAGGCTCAAATACAAAGCCTTGCAGGGTGATGTCATCCGTTAATCTCTGTAGGGGTGAGTTCCCATGGCGTGCTGCTCAATGCTTTACGAAGTGGGACGGCCTTTAACAGTGACTCACCAGCCCTTCCTACACCAGTCTCCCCTGGTGGGTCATCAAAGGGGAGAAATCTTCCGTGGTCCTTCTTGGAATCTGTGGCTGCATTTACTTGGTGCATAAGCACTTAAGAGAGCTGGCCACCCGCCAGGTGCCATGCAGGGCACCACGGTTGAAATCAGAGGCTGCTCCAGTTCCTGGAGATGGTGCTCACCACGGGACAGGGTCAGAGATGGCGAGAGGACAGTCTGCCCAGGTGCGGGGAGAGCAGCCTTCTCTAAGGCTCACCCCAGCTGTCCCCCAAAAAACTCTCCCCTTGACACTAAGCCCACACCCCCCACCTTTGTGTTCCTTCCAACATCCCAGGGCCTTTGCACTTGCTTCTCAAGTCCTGGCACACCCGGCCTGTCCCAACCTCAGGTAGCCCTTTATATCACTCTACGAGGTGCCCTATTTTCTTTTCATCGGCACACACATGCTGTCCACAATTATTTCACTCGTCATTTTTTCCCTATTTTTTTCCCCCAAGTATGAGACTGTTAGAAACCCTGCCTGTACCATTCACCTCTGGGGTGCCCGCCCCTAGCATAGCAGCAAGCATATAGTAAATGTTTACAAAAACACTCAATAAATATTTACAAAAAGAGCAGAATGAAGGACCAGACGTGAAGAGCCAAGAAGTAGAGAGTTCGCAAAGAACATGCTGATGGTTTCTCTACCGTAGCAGAGGCGTGTCGGCAGAAGGGCAGAGAATGAAGCTGACCCTTGCAGGGCCTTGGCTTTGCTTGGGCATTTAAATTTAATCCTGTTGGCCGTGAAGGGTCACCAGAGGGCTTCAGACATGGTCAAGTTTACATTTGAGAAAAGTTGCTCTGTGCGGAGAATAGAATGGAAGGGTCTAGACGAGAGGCAGGGAGCCTGGTTAGAGGCCATTGCTGCGTCCCAGGCAGAAAAGATGGTGGTGGGGCTCTGAGCGCAGGCAGCAGCAGTGGGGACGAGAGGAGAGATGGATGTTTTGTGGGTACTGAGAACAGGGGAGCAAGTGCAGCCAGTACCCATAAACCGAGACGGCAGGTCCCAGTGCCATGCTTCAGTCAGCCGCCTCCGGCCCGGCCAGCTCAGAATGAGGGGGACTAGAGCAGGAGTCTGTAACACACAGCCTGGAACCACATCTCTGCACCCTGGTCCCTCGCCGCCTGCCCAGTGTTATCTGCAAACACTGCCAGAGGGAAAGGGTAAGACCTCGGATCTGGCCCAAAGCCGACAGCTCTCCGTTCTGGGAAGAGGTCATTGGAGCCGTGAGAAGTGTACTGATAGTGGTCCTCTTGAAAAGAGGAAGTCAGGGACCTCTCCACTGAACTGCGGATCCCAGATTGAAAGGGCTCCGGTGGCAGGCGCCAAGTCTCAAGACACATTCATCCAGTCGGCAGATAATCACTCAAACAGTTCCCAGCCATAGGGCCTGTGATCTGGGGCAGCAGTGCAGATCGAAGCCCGACTCTCACAGTGCTTGTCTAGTGAGGGGTGCAGACAGGCAGGAGGTTGTCATCAGTGTGAGAAGTGCCAGGACAGTGTGGTACTTTGAGAGCACAGAAGAAGAGGAGAGAAGGTGCATCAGGGAAGACTTCCTGGAGGAGGTGGGATTCAAAGGATGAATAAGGAGGCATGAGAAGGTATGGAGGGTGGAGGGAGCAGCATGGTCCGTGGAGACCAGAGGTGAACAGGAGCATGGCACTCTCTGCCTCCAGCAAAG